TACAGGTATGTGCCAAAAAATTAGAATATCGAGGAAAAGTCCATTTATTTCAATAATTTGTTTCAAAAAGTGAAACTTGTATGTTATATTAGTTCACTGCACACAAAGTGAAATATTTCAAGCCTTTATTTGTTTCAATTTTGATGATTATGGATTAAAGACAAAAAAAACCCCCAAATCCAGTATTTCACAAAATTAGAATATCATGACAAAGTTCAACATTGTAGGCTCCCTGTGTCCCAATCTAGTCAGCTAATTAATGCAAAACACCTGCAAAGGTTTCCTCAGCCTTGAAATTGTCTCAGTCTGGCTTAGTAGGCTTCAGAATCATGGGGAAGACTGCTGACTTGACGGTTGTGCAGACGACCATCATTGACACCCTCCATAAGGAGGAAAAGTCTCAAAAGGCAATTGCAAAAGAAGCTGGATGCTCACAGAGTGCAGTATCAAAGTATATTAACAGAGTGTTAAGAAGAAGGGAAGAATGTGGCCGGAAAAGGTGCAAAAGTGACAGGGATGACCGCAGCCTTGAGAGGATTGTCAAGCAAGGGCGATTCAGAAATCTGGGGGAGCTTCATAAGGAGTGGACTGAGGCTGGTGTCAGTGCATCAAGAACCACCACATACAGACGTCTGCATGACATGGGCTACAGCTGTAGAATTCCATGCGTCAAGCCACTCCTGAACCAAAAACAACGTCAGAAGCGTCTGTGCTTGGCTAAGGAGAAACAGTACTGGTCTATTGCCCAGTGGTCCCAAGTCCTGTTTTCAGATGAAAGCATATTCTGCATTTCATTTGGAAATCAAGGTCCCAGAGTCTGGAGTAAGACCGGAGAGGCACAAAAGTCAAGCTGCTTAAAGTCCAGTGTGAACTTTCCACAGTCAGTGATGGTTTGGGGAGCTATGTCATCTGCTGGTGTGGATCCATTGTCTTTTATCAAGTCCACAGTCAACGCAGCTGTCTACCAGGAAATTTTAGAGCACTTCATGCTTCCCGCTGCCGAGCTGAAAATTTTATTCCAGCAGGATTTGGCACCTGCCCACAAAAAAACCTGTAGTGTCAAAGTAACAGAAGAGTAAGACTAGCTGCATAACATACAACCCTATTTCCAAAAAACTTGGGATGAAGTGTAGAATGTAAATAAAAACAGAATGCTATGATTTGTTAATCAGTTAAAACCTATATTTCATTTAAAGTAATAATGTTGTAGTTATGTCAAACGCTGAAATTGAGAAAAAGAGGTGCTCATTTTAAATTTGATGCCATCTACATGATCCAAAAAAGTTTGGACAGGGGCATGGTCCCACTGTGCTGCATCACCTCTTCTGTTAACAACACTGAGTAAACCTCTGGGAACTGAGGAGACCAGTTGCTTTAGTTTTGAAAGCAAAACATTTGCTTGATATAAGATTTTGGCTTCTCCTTTGTCATATTTTTTTCATTTCATCAGAATCAGAATCAGCTTTATGGCCAGGTAGGTTGAACGTAAGGAATTTGACACAGTGACTCTTAATGTGCATATGCATGTGCAATGTGTTTCCATAAGGCAAGGAAGAAACAAGAAAATCAGAACAAGAAGAAGAATGTGAAAACAAGAAAACAAATGTGCATTTAGCGAAAAAGACATATATGGCTGTCGAATTGTGTTGTGATAACAAGCGGGATGATACTTTTCCTCTTTAGCCTGGAGGACTCGACATCCATGATTTCCAAATAGAATTTGAAAACTTTTTATTCATCAAATCACACCACAGTTTTCCACTTCACCTCAGTCCATCTTAAATTAGTTTGAGGCCTGAGAAGATCTGGATCTTGTTTGTCTTGCATTTGTGGATGTAACAACAAACCTAGTTCACTGCCAGTGGTTCTCAGTGGTGTTCCTGAGCTGATGCAGTGATTTCCACCACAGAATTGTGTCTGTTTTTAATGTCAACGCCTCACGAGGGCCCCAAGATCATGGCCATTCAGTATTAGTTTTCAGCCTTTAGTTTTCCTGGCTTTCAGAGATTTCTTCAGATTCTCTGAATCTTTAAATGCTAACATCAACCTGCTAACATGCTCATAGTGACAATGCTAACATGTTTGCCATACTGTGAAGCACACCATCTTAGTTTACCAGTTTAAATAATTAGCACCAAATGCATATTACAGTTAACAGAATGCCATGTGGTAATAAATCAAAGTACTGGACAAATTTAAATTTTGGCCTAAATTGTGGCACTAAATAGAAATTCTGGTGATCACCAAGGTTTCTACAATAAATCCTGAGGAGAATATGATTATCTGAACTGGGCATCCAAAAAATGTTGAGACATTTCTCCATTAACTAAATACAGTATGTCAGTGATACAGAAGAAGCAGAGTATCACCAAAGTGAGTTGGGTAAATCCTCTGAGGGACATGAATGCCTCTACAAAATGTCATGACAGATAATATGCATGCAGTGTTTCAACTGTGTTTCCTCTTCATTTACTATTATATATTTTTGCAAAGTCTTTCCTGTGTTGTGTGCAGAAGCTTTGTCATAAGACTGGTGATGCCTAGCTCCTCCTCGGCAGGAATAGGTGTGTTAATCTCTTGCCTAAATGACATTATATGTAATTGCTCTGTGCTTGTATGATAAAGAAACAACAAGGGAATCGGAGAGCAAGGGAGAGCCTGGTGTTTTTCTGTTTGTCAGGCTAAATGGATTGAGATGCATGAACAGCAAGTGCTAAAAGTGTAAATTACTAACACAGGAATGCTTTGTCTGTTTAAGCTCATGACCCACTCCTATGAGACACACACACACACACACACACACACACACACATACATATACACACAGACGCTCAAAGGCTAGATGTGGCTCCTACTTCCTGGCTCCCCAGGCAGCAAATTACCGAGCCTTCCACACCAACAAAGGCAAGAGACTCTCTCCATTCAAACTTATTAATCCTTCCATTTACAGGCTACAGCGGAGACAACTGCAGAGAGAATGAGCGTGAGTTTGTTTTTCCTTCTGCATCTGTGTGTGTGAGAGAGAAAGAAGCAGATGTAGTACATGGTCTAACTTATTATTGTATAAGTTTGTTGTGAGGCAAAAGGAAGAAATACAAGAAGAAGACAAGTATGTGCATCTGTAATTCATTGATTTGTATGTGTGTGTTGAACCCCACTGTGAGTGCAGAGTGCTCCCTGGTTGATGAGGCTGATACCTAATCAAGTCAAGGACCTGAAGCCTAAAGGAGCATTGAGATTTATCTACACAAGGCTGAAGTACACGTGGGTGACAAATCAAAAACAAAGAACCACCACCACCACAAGCTTCCAGAACAGCTTCAGTATTCCTTATCTCCAGGTCTCTGAATGCCATTCTTTTAAAATTCATTCTCTCATTTGGTGTTTGGTGGTCCCTGCACGGCCCTATGGGTGTTCACCTGGGTTAAGATATGGCTACTTTAAAGGGCATAGTGTACGATTGATCTCATTTTCATACTGGGAGAACGAGTGCACTGGTTGTTGGTTTGACACTCAGTAGCAGGAGATACCCTCAACCCTGATTGGTGTATCCTTAATCATGTGTCATTTACTGATCCCTCTTGTCTTCGGTGGAAGCATCTACATTCTTTGTATTTCTCCACTCACTGAATTTGTCACTCACATGCCATTTATAAAGGGATTGCTAAACAAAGAGAATATTCTGTACGACTGAAAGCCATCATTTCACTTGTACGCTATCTCGCACTCTCTTCTTTTAATTCCTTGCTCAATCTGAGGGGAGACAAGAGACTCTGGTGAAAGGAAAAGCATATCTTTTGCTGCACTGTTGATGCTGTGCTACCGCTGACAATTTTATCCTTGGATTGATGCTGTTTTGCCATGAAAATAAAAAAAAGAATGAAAACACTGTTATCTGGGACATTTGGGGGCTTGAGTTGTAGCTTATGATGAGCGTGGACCCCGCAGCCTTTTCCTCAACAATCAAATTACAACTGTGTCATTCGCACATCTGCATATCCTCTGGTCTGAATAATCCCTCCACAACCAAGTACCAGGTGGAAAACAGTTCTGCAGAAGAGAGGTGTCAACACATCCAAGATAAGCACATATGAACACTGCCTTTGTGAGTGACAGGTGAACTCTGCAGAGAAAACAAATTGTTTATAAATGTTAAAGTTGAATTAAAATTCTTCTTTTGCAGACATTATTTAAAGCAACCTTCACTAAAGAAGCCACACAACACTGTGACAGAAGACTCACATCATGTTATTTGACGTAGTCCAAAGTTGTCTCTTTGACACCTTTTGACATTTGGAAAGTGAATTGGCTGCGGTTATTTTTAGTGCCATCTACTGAAATGATGCCATAGTGCATTGGATCGGAGAGGAGAGGAGAGGAGAAGAGGAGAGGAGAAAACATATGTGTGCTTTCAGTTGTGTCAGACAGTGTGGCTACCTCAAAGAGGTCTGTTTTGACTAGAGTCCATAACCCTCAGTCCTTCAGACCTGTGACATTTAATCTCACCAAGACCTCATTTACTCTGTTCACTGGGTAACAACATTCCTCAGATTAGTAACATGCCTGCTCCACAAGCCTCTAGCAGAGTAGAGCTGTGTGTAGCAGCACAATCACACAATGCACCTCTACTGTATGTGACAAACAGGAAGCAAATGTTCTACTCTGCTATTATATGTATCTAAGTCTCAGGTTTGGGTAAAAATTGTGTCAGGATTCAGCCATCCTGCTTGTGTTTGTAGAAATAGCTTCCTTCTGGGTAATGTGTGTAGTTAAGTTTCATCAACAGGATATGAATAAGGATATTTACTATGCAAACTGAGATGACTATGTCCATTCCTTACTGCAGGCAGGTGTTTTGATTCCTTGCTGCTGGGCCAAGACAGTATGTACTGTTTACACTGCTCTTGTTTTGCCCACAGTCTCACTGGTCTATGACGTGTGATGTGTCAAATGTAAAATGATAATAAAACAGTTGCATGTAATTGTATTGTATATTTTGTGCTTTAGGTGCTGGCCTATCAAATGATCACATGCAAATCAGGATCATGTTTGTGACAAAAAGATTGTCCTTGGTTCACCTGTGCCTTTAGTAAAAGCTGACTTTTCCCACTGGCTGGGTTTGATTCCAGAGTGCCCCGGATCAGTTTGAAAGATATGCTGCCACCTGAAATTAATCTGGAAATACTGGAAAATATGTTCTACAAAAGGTTAGTGTTCAAATGATCCTAAGTAATGCGAGTGGATTTTGGAATAAGTGTTTAATAAGTAACAGTACAGCCTTTAATCTTGGGGAAAAATCACCAAAGTGGAATTGATAAGGAAAATAAATTGTTTCTATTATTTGTCTACAATCTGTATTCATGAATATCAACTGAAAAATTTGCCGAAATTTCCTTTACCAAACAATCCATAGTAGTGACTAATTAGACAATTTAACAGGTGATTTTCCGTGTTTAAGCAGATGCTACAATACTATCAGAACATGGATCATCTGCACGACATATGTGAATCTATGAAGCAAGACTTACCTCATATGAATCTGATATACATATCGTGTGTTACTCTACTCCCGTTTTGTTGTGTCCTCACCTCCTCCCTGACAAAGAGCACCGGTACGGCAGCGCCTGCTCAGGCAGTCCGGATCCGGACCCAGGTGGTAGGTGTAGCGGTGATCCGCTCCGGATTTTCCCGCAGACCACGTAATAACATTGAATTGACCTATGTACACAAAAGAGAGGCAAGACTCCCTGAAAAGATTTCTCATCATTTTTCAGGGTGTGAGTCAGTGCTGAATGCCAAGAGAGATGTAGAGCAGTCAACAGCCTTTCCAGCACTTAGAATGGTGAATCATTTTCTAAAGATATGAATAACTTTATCTTTCACCAGCTGTTTACTCACGTCTGGTTGCTGACCTTTGACCCCTTTCCAGTCAGTACTGTGACCAGTTTTTGCTCTGATGTCTGATTTAATCTATAGTTCTAATCATTCACTAAGATTGTTCTACACTCTCCTCATCACATGCACTGTGTTCCCATGCCAGTATTTGTGATCACATGATGACTGTTGAAACCACTGACATATAGTCGATGGTTGAAACTGGATTAGGAAAACACTGGTGATAACAGAGGCCTTTAATCCCTGAACTCTGTGAGCTTCATGCTTCATTTACACATGAAGTGTGTGGAGAGGTGCACTGATGTGTTGAGCACTGACTGTATCCTGTTGAGTCCACTAGATGGCAGTGTTACAATACAAATGAACACTGAAGCACACCACTAGGAAGTTCCATGATTCTCATGGGGAGCTCGAGTCTTCCGTGTCTTTCTTTCAATCAGGCAAGTCAAGTCTAAGCAACTCAGTGTTGATGGCGTATTTGCATTGTCATCTGACTCTTGTAAAATTCTATATACAGGTAGGTTTTATGATCAGATTCACATTTACCATACAATTGTATAAATAAAAAAGGCTTAATTGATATTTATGTTTTTCCCAAGCGAGAGCTTCTTTATATAGAATGAATCTTCTGGACTCTGTGGAGAAAGGACATGAAGTCTGGAACACCTGTGGGGCAAAGTTTCAACTGAAATCATTGCATTTTCCATTATTTCCATTAAGTATTAAATTAAGTACTAAATACTCTAAGCATAATATTATTTTTTTTTACATTTTGTTATTTCCAAGGGAGAGAACAGTTGCCTCCATAGTACAATATATATATATAAAAAAGCTAAAAATAAAAGCTTAAAAGCAGATAGTTTTCATTTCAATTGGCTCACAAGCGATAGTCAATTTGGATAATTTCGACATCTTCAGATCAGGAGTTTGAAAAGCAGGCCACAGTTAAAGACAGATCATTTTGCACAGAGAGGCTATCAAACTAAAGTAATTCAGGATGCTCCTAAAAGAGCACAGTACTTTTCTAGATCTACACTCCTTGACAGAGGCGTCAAGTAACGAAGTACAAATACTTCGTTACCTTACTTAAGTAGACATTTTGGGTATTTATACTTTACTGGAGCAATTATTTTTCAGGCAACTTTTTACTTCTACTCCTTACATTTTCACGCAATTATCTGTACTTTCTACTCCTTACATTTTAAAAATCGCCTCGTTACTAGTCCGATTTCATTTCAGCTTGTTTTCATTCATTTTTTTCAAAGAAAATAATCCAGATAAATTGCGCCATCAAGGGTAGTGAATTTGATTGTCATTGGATGAGAAGTATAAACGTATACCATTCCGATACCCTGTTGGTTTGTTTATACGTAATCCATCCCACCTGCACACAAATCTCACAAGATGTCCGTGGTAGAGACGCAAGAGGAAAACTCCGTGAAATGTCCCACTCCCAATCAAGCACCGGCGAGGAGGTTGGTACTACCAGTCATTCTGGCCGTACCTGGAAGAATTTTTCGGAATGGTTGGATGCAAAAACAACTCCTTTAGAATGCGCTGCAAGCTCTGCGCACCAAAGTACCACGAGTTAATGGCTTTCAAAAACTCTCCATCGAATTTAAAAAAGCATATTGAGGTAAGCTGAAATTTTATAAACAGTCGATTATTGATAAATTTTAAATCTGAGTTTATATGCAAGTTAATTGTGCAAAGATATAGTCGACAGCTGGTTGATAGGGATGTACTAGCTGCTAGCATGTAGTAAAGATAGTCAGGATCCTGGCTGTGTATGTTAGCACGCGCGCCTGTGTGCGGTAGGCCCTATCGTAGAGGTAATAGACCCAACTGCTACTATGAGCCAAATACTGTTTAAATGAATTTAATGCTACTTTTCAGTCATGCTAGCAGCTGCTTGCGGTCCTAAAACAACATAATTATATAGAGTCTATATAATAGACTAGTAATACTGCTACAAGCATGACATTTAATACAGAGGAAGTCCTAGAAAGTCTGAGTTTGTGATTTAGAGAAATAATATGGATCTCAATCTGTGCCTGTGCGTTCATTTTCTTGACAGAAGAAACACCACTCATTTAGAGAGGTACACGCAACTTACTTCAGCAGACCTCGAAAGGAGGTCATCTGCTGAAGGTTCTTTGGCCCCACCCTCCAAACAAACCAAGCTGTGGGAGACTCGAAGAGTGTCCCAGGCAAGTGTGGATAAAGTAGTCCTCGAATTCGTTGTCCAAGGCTTGCACCCACCACACATTGTTCAGCAGCAGGGCTTCATTGATCTACTGCAACATCTTCAGCCAAATACAAATGTCATGACACGCAATACTCTTGTAAACAAAGTCACAAAGGCCTCTGTTGAAATGAAAACAAAACTGAAAGCTGCCCTTAGTGAAATAGAGTTCATAGCAACAACAACAGACTGCTGGACGGCACACCGTCGCAGTTTCATTGGTGTCACTGCACACTGGTTTAACCCCCAGACCATGCAGAGATCCTGTGCTGCCCTGGCATGCAAGCAACTTAAAGGGTCCCATACCTTTTCTGCCCTGGCTGGTGCCCTAAATGATATTCACACAGAATTCAATGTCAGAGAGAAGATCGTTCGCACTACAACTGACAACGGATCTAACTTCCTGAAAGCCTTCAGAGTTTATGGGCAGATGGACGAGAAGAACGACAATCCTGCATCTGTCGGAGAGGGTGATGGAGAAGAGGATGATGGTGGCCAAAATGATGATTACGATGAAGAAGAGGAAAGCGTTGAGGGTGTTGAATTTGTTGATGCCGGAGCCCTGTTGGACAAAGATGACTACTTGGAATACCAGCTACCCAAACACCATCGCTGCGCATGCCACCTCCTCAATTTGGTGTCCACAGTTGATGCTTCAAAAGCAGAGGTCAACCCATTGTACAAGCGTGTGTCAAGGTCCACATTTGCCAAATGCTCTAGCCTTTGGACCAAAAGTTCAAGATCAATCACTGCATCTGAAGTAATTGAAGAGCACTGTAAACTCCAACTCATAAGGCCTGTTGCTACAAGGTGGAATTCATTCTTCTCAGCCGTAGAAAGAATAGTGAGAATAACAAGAGAACAAGGTGAAGGAGCCCTTGCAGCTGTCTGCAGTGAACTAGATACACCTAAGTAAGTGCTTGTTTTTCTGCCTTTCTGTTAATGAAGTGATTATTAACAATAGATTAAGTCATAGTTTTATACTTTGAATAATGTAGAACACATCTATGCACTATGCCAATATACAGTTCCCATATTTACTATATATGTGATTTGTAGAAACACAATTACAGTTCTAAATTTCTTAGTCTCAGATGACAATATTTTTCCTTTTTACTTATCAGTTCCTCCAGTTAAAGGTGCTACATCAAGAAGGCTAAATGTTCCATGTTTTCTTCTTTATACAGGTTTACTCCAGTGGAACTTGGATTCCTTGCAGAATATGTGAAGACAATGAGCCCAGTTGCAAGGGCACTGGATGTTCTTCAGGGAGAAACCAGTGTGCAGATGGGATGGTTGGTCCCCACCATAACTCTACTAAAGACCAAGCTCCAGCACCTTCACAGCGCCTCCAGGTTCTGTGAACCTTGTAGAAAGAATGGTGAGAATAACAAGAGAACAAGGTGAAGGAGCCCTTGCAGCTGTCTGCAGTGAACTAGATACACCAAAGTAAGTGCTTGTTTTTCTTCCTTTCTGTTAATGAAGTGATTATTAACAATAGATTAAGTCATAGTTTTATACTTTGAATAATGTAGAACACATCTATGCACTATGCCAATATACAGTTCCCATATTTACTATATATGTGATTTGTAGAAACACAATTACAGTTCTAAATTTCTTAGTCTCAGATGACAATATTTTTCCTTTTTACTTATCAGTTCCTCCAGTTAAAGGTGCTACATCAAGAAGGCTAAATGTTCCATGTTTTCTTCTTTATACAGGTTTACTCCAGTGGAACTTGGATTCCTTGCAGAATATGTGAAGACAATGAGCCCAGTTGCAAGGGCACTGGATGTTCTTCAGGGAGAAACCAGTGTGCAGATGGGATGGTTGGTCCCCACCATAACTCTACTAAAGACCAAGCTCCAGCACCTTCACAGCGCCTCCAGGTTCTGTGAACCTTTGATTGCTGCACTTCTTTCAGGCCTTGAAAAACGCTTTGGCGAGATGCTTGTAGTGTTGTCACGATACCAACATTTTGGTACCGGTACCGGTACCAAAATGTATTTCGATACTTTCGATACTTTTGGATAGTTTTTCAGATAAAAAGAGAACGCAAAAAATGTCATTACTGACTTTATTTTAATAGAAAATCTTAGAATAACATCAAAATAAAATTCAAAATACTAGGCTTTTCTTATTGCACTCAAAAAAAAAAAATTAGAACAGTCAGTGTGAGTAAAAGTTAGAAGTTCTAACTTAGAACAATTAGAACAAATAAAATTATTTGAAATTAAAATAAGCTAGCAACTGTAGCAGCAAAATCTCTTATTTTCCTATCAACATTATGTCCCTTCTCCCAGCCTGTGAAAGACTGTTTAGTGTTGCAGGTCTCATCTTCAGGCCAAGAAGGGCAAGCATTGGCTCAAAGAACTTTGAGAATCAGCTGCTTTTGCGGCTTAACAAAGGTTATTGGTAATTCTTTGTTGCATGTTCTGCACTTAACTGATGTAGATCCTGAGTACAAAATGTTTGTTAGATAGATTTGAGCATAGTACATACTATCAGGAATGTATTAGTTATTTATTTTTTAATAAATCACTTGGATTAATCATTCATTTTGACAGCACATGTTTATTGTGTATTGACAACCATACAAGGGTAATTGTTACTAATCCTGCCCTGGTACACCAATTTTCTTGTCCATTGCCCTCGCAGATTCCTACAGCTAAGCTTGGATGCACATTTACATTAATGTATAAGTTATTGATGACATGACTCTGATTTTTGACTTTTGCACCATTAGAATACTTATACGTAACTAACTAGTCATCATATCTTCTGCTCCATGGAACGCATGTTAATGCTCAGGAGTACACATATATTCTTTATCTTTAATGTATATTTGCATTGTACTAAAATGCATTTATTTTCAATGGGCATATATGTGACTGAAATGGTAGCCTAGTGCATCTTACATTTTTCAATATTAACATTTTAATATAACATTTGTCATTACGGCCTTTAGAAAAATATTTTTTTGAGGAGGTGGGGTATGGCACAATATGGTCCGTATGACGTAAGCTTTTGTCCATAATGGCATTTTCCTTACATTACTTCTACTTTTATACTTTAAGTAGTTTTAAAACCAGTACTTTTATACTTTTACTTGAGTAAAAAGTTTGAGTTGATACTTGTACAAAAGTCTTTTTAAACCCTAGTATTTATACTTCTACCTGAATAATGAATGTGAATACTTTTGACACTTCTGCTCCTTGAGAGAAAAGAGAAAATAGCCAGCAACTAGTTCCTTAGCTAATTCCATAAAAAGAATAACATACTCCACTTGGAACCAAATTAGAAGTGATCCCACCCTCAGAAAGGTCTTTCCAGGTCCTCTCAAGATTGGTTTTAGAAGAGCTCCAGATAGGTTAGTACATAGCCATCTCCCAGCCAGTGATAAAAGTAGTTGGTTTTCTCAAACTTTGAAGGGTACTTGCAAATGTGGTTGCTGTACTCACTGTGCTAATATAAAGGAATGCAAACAATTTTGTGATTTTTAGGGCCCATAAGACATGATATAAAATCCTTCATTAATTGTAAAGCTACATTTGTCATATATTACAAATTCGTATATTACATTTGTTGTAAAAGACCATTTAAAGATTTAAAAACAGAGTTTCTGAACATAAAAATGCAATTGGGGGTGATCATATATAGTGCATGTGTTTTGATGTGGGTCATGTTTTGTTTGTGGTTTGTGTTGTAATTTCAGGTCTATCTTTGTGCAGCCATCTCTTTCAGGCAGGGTTTATATGTGCAGGCTCTTTGATGCCCTATGTGGCTGCCTGCTGGTGTTTGGCCATGAATGTGATGATTGGTTCCCTATTAAGACTAGGTGTTTAGAATTCTCTTACATCCACTTAAGGGAAACAGTGTATTGCAATTATTGCAATTCAGGTTAGCCCCCTGAAGAAACCAGCATTTTGCTGCTACATGTTAGCTGTAATCCACATTTTGAACATGTATAGTTTTTAATCCTCATGAGAGAGCCATTTGAATAAAGGCTTTTTACAATTTATTTTAGAAGAGTGCCTATGCCCCTTTTTTTGTTTACTGTTTTTTTGTCCTTTTTGCACCCTCGACTGCCTTATTGTGAACTTCCTGTGCTCTGACATCTTTCTTTCTGTTACACAGTGATTTGCCATTGGGTAGCTCATTTCCCCACCCTTAAATCAGCACACTGATGTGTGTTTAAGCCTTGACTATTTAAACATTTCCTAGAGGGTGCTGCTTCAATATTGCCATTACAATACCTGAAACACAAATGTCCCATAACTTTTTTTGAGAGCTTGTCTTTCTCTCAGATGTTTTTGGTAATCTAGTAAGAATATGAGAAAGAAATGTACTGTGGATTTTATTTGGATATGTTTAATGGGACAAGGAAAAATTGGTGATTTGTTGTGATACACACTCAGCCAGCAATATATTAGTGTAGAAACATATGTTCACAGTTAAGAATCATAATCAGCTTTATTAGCCAGGTGTGTTGGACACACGAGGAGATTGACTTTGGTACATCGGCTCTTCAAGGTGTGTCTAAAGCCATTGTAGTAGATGGCACATCCACAAGAGCTGTGGGAATGATCAGAACAATTCTTTCTCTATTAGTTGTGATTTTATTTGTAAAGAGGCTCATGAAGTCATTGCTGCTGAGATCTAAGGGAATGTTAAGCTCAACAGCACTGTGGCTCTTTGTCAGCCTGACTACAGTGCTGAAAAGAAACCTGGGGTTGTTCTTATTTTCCTCAATCAGTGATGAATAAAATGCGGTTCTGGCACTACGAAGGGCTTTCTTATATGTTATTAAACTATCTTTCCAGGCTATGAAAAACTCTTCTGACTTAGCGGAGCGCCACCTCCTTTTCAGTTTTTGTGATGCCTTTAGGGAGCAGAGCTACAAGCTGTACCATGGGGCTAACCTCCTCCTCATTATGAAACGAGACAAATATGAATAAAAATAGAGACCTTTATGCATCTGTATAATCTGTATAATGTATATTTACAGGTATTGCACTGAGGGTTATTGTCCAGTCATACTGTCATTCTGTCCTGGGTCAAGTGTTCATCAGAGTGACAGCCCGGGGAGAGAAAATGTCCCTGTGCCTGGTTGTCTTGGCGTACAGTGACCTGTAATGCTTTCCAGAAGGGAGGAGTTTGAACAGATTGTGCCTCGGGTGTTTTTCACAGCCTCACCTGTTGTTTCCTGTCTGTCAGAAAGCTAGTAATCCACTGACAGTTGGGGGCAGGCAAGTAAACAGTAAAAGTAACAGTAAAAACAGAGTACTTAAAACTAGAGACCTGTACGAATCTGTATAATCTGTACGAGGTATATTTACAGGTATTGCACTGAGGGTTATTGTTCAGTCATACTGTCGTTGGTTAAGTGTTCATCAGAGTGATGGCCTGGGGGGCATTTCCTGAAGTCCACTGTTTTGAGCGTGTTCAGCTCCAGGTTGTTGCAGGTACACCACAGGACCAGCTGCTCAACCTCCCATCTGTAGGCTGACTCGTCACTATCTTGGATGAGACCAATGACTGTTGTATCATCAGCAAACTTTAGGAGCTTGACAGAGGGGTCCTTCAAAATGCAGTCGTTGGTGTAGAGTGAAAACAGCAGAGGGGAGAGCACACATCCCTGCTGGGGACATCTGTGCTTATTGTCCGGGTGCTGGATGTGGTTTTCCCCAGCCTCACCTGCTGCTTCCTGTCTGTCAGAAAGCTCCCACACTGACAGGTGGGGGCAGGCACAGTGAGCTGGATCAGTTTGCCATGTTAACTGTATCGTCCACTGACCTGTTTTCTCGGTAGGCAAACTGCAAGGGGTCTTGCCAGGGTCTAGCAGGGGGTCTACAAACAATGTAGTAAAACTACAAGAGCTACATTAATAAGAACAATGGTTTTATAAGCACAATGATTCAGTAATATGAAACATCCCTTGTAATAATGAATCAGTTGTGTGTAAAAATGGATGACATGTGACCTTTCTGCCACTACGGAAAAGTGAAGCCAAAATATTACAATAATGGAGGGCAGCCATCTTGCTTTTGTGATGCATTTTGCAATCACATTCTGTGCAGCAGTGACCAGTGGTGATATTATATCATGATATTAAAAACAAACATAAGAAAAACAACCGCTTGTACACATGTCCATGATAATATCTACATAAAATGATGCAACACTTCTGGGAAAGCCTATATTACTTGTGTGTTGTGAGCACTTTATGAACAGTAGCTGTTTGTCAGTTGGTGTGTGGTAAGTCACACATCCCACCACTGCTTTGAGTGTCAACTCACTTACCTAACCCCCACATCTTTATGGTGCTTTGAGTATAAACACTTGTACTTCAACATAGAGGTATTTTATCTGCTTTTAAATCCTGATGCCAGTAGATGGCTGCTTTAGTTTGTACCCTAAACAAAGCAATAATGAGGTTAGTGGAAAATGACTGAAATGTGTACGGCCTTTTCAGGTTGAAAGCATGAGATGTACTTGCGTGTTCTTACAATATACAGTGTGTGTTAAGAAGAGTTTTTCTTCTTCGGAGTGAGGCAAAGTTTGTCAGTGAGGTTATTGGGGTAGTTCTCCCTTCTCAAGGGGCAGGCCCACAGTTAGGATCTGGGCTTGCCCAGGGTTACTCAGACAGCATGCAGTGCTCGGACAAAGGCATCCCAACCCTGAAGGCTCAGAGTGGGCCAGGCGAGTGTCACATGGGCAAATACAACCTTTGTTTTCTTATATTAGGTGTAACACTTTACTCTCGATTACTTTACTGTGTACAACACATGGCCTAAGTATTTGTGGAATATCACCATAACACCAGGTTGTTTTTATACCAGTGTTATAGTCTGTAACTGCACTATTACATGACTTTATGATTCTGTTCTGACTGGGTGGTCTTGTCTAATACAAAACTATTTCCAGAGACATTGGTATTTATTAGCTACATATTTATTTTTGTGTTTTTGTCACTTTCATATATTTCATGTACCACAGTCTTTCCTCCATAGCACATTCAAATCTCATTTTAAATTTTTATATGCCTTTTCACAACTAACACAACTGCCTGGAAATGGGTTTTAATTTTAACTTGTATCATTTCTTGTGCTTTGTTTTTATTTCTGTTCTTCTTTGTTGCCTTTTTTAACCTTTAAACCTTTAGATATTGGCAAAATGTCAGTAAGTACATTTAATCATGTATTGTACATTTTATGCCACATAAATTCAAAGTCAGACATAGACTGGCTTATTAAGAATGATGCAGTAACATATGATGTAGTATAAAAATTGTTAAAATTTTACTTAACATTAATGCATTATAGTTCATTATAGTTCTACAACACTATCTCACTAGCCATAGACTTCACAGCAGGTGAATGAGAATCAAACTGTAAAGCTCTAGGGAATAAATAGCTTTTTTTCATTATTCACTGCCAGTTTATCTGTTCTTATTGAAATATTATTGAAATATTAAGTCTTGCCCAACCTTTACATGCAGAATATGTTTTAAAATCTCCAGTACACTAAACCCCCAAATTCCATGCACAATATTAAGGATATGACTTCTGTGTCCTCAGTGCTATACACCAGCTTATAGAAGGAAACTTATATCCAACACAAGTTTGAATGAGGCCACAAAATTGAACAAGCCTACTTTAAGTAACAGCCT